AGTAGATAAACTGCTCTCTTATAAAGGTCTTACAGATTTGTTGAGTAATGATAATAAGGTATATGTGGACAGACGTATAGAAAAATATGAACCTTATCCGAATTGTATGTTGGATAAAGCATAATATTATGCTTATTAGTCAATATATTAAATATATTATTCATTAAATGTCCCTGAAGAATATTCCATGTACCTGGTGAAAACACAATTAAAATTATTTTATAATTTATTTTTTAATATTAAAAGGAATGACAATTTTTATTGTTTTAATTTGGCAAATTCAAAGACATTTAATGTTATACTCAATTTTGTTTCATACTTATAAGTAAAAAAATCTCATGTTATTTCATATAATTTAATTAAATTCTCACAATAAAAGTTATCTATAAATATTTTATCTGAGTTAATCAAAGTAAAAGTGCATCCATTTGTATTCATGTATATAGATGGACTAAGTTTTAAATTTATTTCTTTAGTTGTTTAATTAACAATATCAAATATTATCCTTTTTACTTTAACTTTTTTTTTTTACTTTGTAATTTTTGTGTTCTGTTCTTAATAAACTTTATTTAAACAATATTTGTTCGTTATTCTGTGTGAAAATATTTAAAAACAATACAAAATAATGGAACAAAAAAAACATTCCTAATGTAGAAGAACTTATGAGAAGATTAAGAATTGACTAAAAATACATTATTTCATTTCAAATTTTCATTTAGATTGGCGAAACCACACATTTTTAAAATTTTTGGTATTATTCAAATTTATATTAATATATTTCTATTATTTATTACAAATATATATATATATACATAGAGTTAACTTATAGTTAATTATAAATAATTAATTTACCTTTGACAACGTCACATTTTATTTATAAAGGTGTACCTTAGGGTGACCCTTAGCTACATGAGAGGTTTTTTTTTTTTTAATATTTGTAAGTGCCACCCCCTAGAATTATTCGAATACATGAAAAAATAAATTGTACAAAATTTGGAGACTATTGGTCAACTCTAAGACGTGCCCCAAGGGGGTTAAAAGTAACCCCCTAAGGGTGATTTTTTAGTTTTTTTTGTCTATCTCAAAAACTTTAGCTTTTGCGAAAAAGTTTATTTAGACTTTTTTGTAGGTATACAATTTTTCTATAAAAAGTATATTTACAAAAATTTTCAAAAAGTTCTTATTTAGCCCTAAAAAAATAAAAATGTATATATTCTATTCTTACCGTTGAAATTGTTAATTTATAAATCGTTCATTGTAAAAACATAAAAAAAATTCATGTAACCGTTGTTTTAAATTTAATTTTCTATACATTTTTAATTCGACATTTTTTCTATTATTTACTATTCAAAACCTACAATTTTTTAAATTTTAATTAAAAAAAAACGCATCAGAATAAAATTAATACCGTCTCAATTTCACTTGAAGCTAAAATAATGTTAACTTACAAATTTATATACAACCAGAAACTTTATAAACTTGTAATAAAAATAGATAATGAACGAATATTATTTAACTCTTTGATTGACAATTCAAATTAGCCCTGAAACAAAACAAATTTTCAAACAATAAATGGCCTTAGCTATCGAACGAGCATGATGGATTGGGCCAGGAGTTTTAAAATCAATTCTATGTAAAGGTGTTTCACCAAAAAATATTATGACCAATTCTAAAAGTCATCTCGAGGTTGGTATTTTTGTAATTGTTCAAAACTAAATTTCAAAATATCGTTTTTTTTTGTTTTTTATTTTTCTAAAATAACAGTATCTTCTATTCCACTTAAGTAATTTGTTTTATTTATATTTTGCCAAGACTTTTGGAATTTATTGAAAACATCTGGTTCAGATGACGTATTAAATTTTACTTCAAAAACACTTTTCAATATAATTTCATAAATGTGATTTCTGCATGGTAAGTATAAAATATCACACCCTAACATTTGCATGGAATTTATTTTAAAATTCCTGGCCCAATCCATCATGCTCGTTAGATGGCCAAGGCCATTTATTGTTTGAAAATTTTTTGGTTTCGGGGCCAATTTGAATTGTCAATCAAAGAGTTAAATATTCGTTCATTATATATTTTTATTACAAGTTTATATATTAAACAATGGTTTAGTGCACCAATACTGCATTAGCGCCAAATTTAGATTTACAATTTATTAAAAATATAATTGATTATGAACAAATAGATAAAGATATTTCTAAAGTAGTTTTAAAAAAAAATTTTGGGTCACTTATGGTACTTACTATCCGATTCGGCAGCATTGGCATTTTATGATGATGATTTATGTGAAGATACTAAAATTAAAATGGTAAACTCATTAAATAATCGGGAAGAAGATCCATGTACAAACAAACGTATAGTAGTAGGAATAAATGAAATTTATGATTTTAAAAATAAAAGTATAGATGATTTTATTTCAACTGAGTCAAAAAAAAAAAAAAAAAAGTTGTTTGAAAGATATGACTTGAAGTACCTCCGATGGGAGGTCTCTTCACTCAGTCTCTTCTGTTTTTTTTTTTTTTTTTCTTTTTATGTTATCACTTAAGCTTATTGTTCAATATTGTAACAGATAGCGTAATAATTAAAATTTTGTTAAAAAAATAAAAAAAAAAAGAAAGATATGACATTGAAACAGATTTTTTAAATATCATTCCTTTGTCGTGGAAAGACAACAGTCAATATATCAGAGGAAAAATAATAGTAAATAATTTAAAAGATATAATTGATTTGGGAGAGAAGGGCGTCAAACTCATAGAAGAGTATAATAATATTTTAACAAAAGACGAAGCACAAAAACAATACCTATTACAGATTGTTACAGAATACCGGCGTTGTTTTCCTAATTGCAATAAAAGAACTTTATGCCAAGAATTTAAAAAATGATAAATTATTTAAAATATGTAGTAAATTTTTTTATTACCCTTTTTTTTTGTAAATAGTTTCTGGTTGTATATAAATTTGTAAGTTAACATTATTTTAGCTTCAATGTGAAATTGAGACGGTATTAATTTTACTCTGATGTGTTTTTTTTAAATTAAAATTTAAAAAATTGTAGGTTTTGAATAGTAAATAATAGAAAAAATGTAGAATTAAAAATGTATAGAAAATTAAATTTAAAACAACGGTTAAATGAATTTTTTTTATGTTTTTACAATGAACGATTTATAAATAAACAATTTCAACGGTAAGAATAGAATATATACATTTTTATTTTTTTAGGGCTAAATAAGAACTTTTTGAAAATTTTTGTAAATACACTTTTTATAGAAAAATTGTATACCTACAAAAAAGTCTAAATAAACTTTTTCGCAAAAGCTAAAGTTTTTGAGATAGACAAAAAAAACTAAAAAATCACCCTTAGGGGGTTACTTTTAACCCCCTTGGGGCACGTCTTAGAGTTGACCAATAGTCTCCAAATTTTGTACAATTTATTTTTTCATGTATTCGAATAATTCTAGGGAGTGGCACTTTGTAATTTTTTAAATTTTATAAATACCACCCTAGTGTACCTATACGGTAAAATAAGTAATTATTCAAAACGACGTAATCAGGACTGTATTTAGAGGTGGTTAAGGAGGCAAAAATAAATGCAAAAAATTTTGGTATGAGCAGCTACCTATCCTGTCCCTACTCTGAAATCACCACTCCTTCGTGGTGATGGATAAAGCTAAATGACTCTCCAACTTTTTAGTAGATAGTCAAGTATAAAATCGGTTTAGTGGAAACGACAAACCAACCTTATTTATTTTTAGCGGAAAAAATAATCTCCCATGATCTTAAGTATCATGATAATCAATTATCAGCATAAAAATAAACGTACAAAAGTAAGTTTTTAACACAATGAAAAACTGGTATTGGAACACTTTGCAATGTATGTGTTCGGAATAACTTATCAAAATTAATCGATGAGTATAATTCCGAACTATACTCATGTCTATCTAAAAAACTATATTATAAATGAAAAAAACAGCTTTAATTTTAGGTTCTAGTTTTCTTTTTAATTCCTTTTCATACATAATGACATATGTTTTGTCAATATAGATATATTCTAATACTACATAGCAGTTTCAGAGCCGTCTTGATATTCATCTCAAGACTAGTTAAATACGTATCCAAATATCCCGTGAGCACCACACAAGATATATATATATATATATATATCTTTATAGAAAATTTAACATTGCTATAGAGTCACAGTAATAACACAAAGAAAAATATATATACAAGGTGGAACGGATCTAACTGACAACTCATAAAACTTATGATCTACACAACATTGTTACGACTGTGGACTGTATTTTAATTTTTTACGAGAATAATATTACTTAGGTCGCTTAACTATGAATTAATAACACGAACTTTTCTATATGTGAATAGTGAGGCATTTATTAGGAGACTGGTTTTTCTCCACTGAGTAAAACCGATCGTTCGCTTATCACAATGATAATAATAATAAAAAAAATCATAATAATACTCATACAATAGAGCACGCCGCAACATACCGCCGGCCTTGAAGAATTGTCTTCAAAACTTTATAGAAGTATAAAACATAGGCAGTAGTTAACAGTATTATACAAAAAAATATAGAGAAACATAGATATAGAAAATAAAAAAAAATAAAAAAAANCGATATACAAGTATAAAACATAGGTAGTAGTTAACAGTATTATACAAAAAAATATAGATAAACATAGATATAGAAAATAAAAAAAAAACAATAAAATAAAATAACAAACTAAAAACTATAAATAACACATTATATCCCATAAACTACAAATATCTAAACCAAATAATTACAAAAAATCAACTAAATATAAATGCATAAAAAAAAAAATTTTTTTTTACAAATGAATATAAATGGCAAAGTAATTTTCGTCGATTGGCAAAGGACACAAAAACCTAACTCCTCGGCGAAAAGAGCCATTCATGGTTTTGACGTCGGCAACTCGAATGACACCGTCATTTCCGGTTACTACATTTATGACACGACCAAGTCACCACTTTAAAGCCGGAATATTATCGTCCTTGAGAAGCACAATGGTGCCTACTTTTATCTTAGGTCCTTTCTCACCAACCCATTTCGTTCTCTCCTGCAACTGCACTAAATACTCCCGACTCCAGCGCTTCCATAAATTTTGAGAATATTGAGAAACACGCCTCCAACGTGTTAACCGGTTACTTGATATGTTCGTTTGATCCGGTTCAGGTAAAGCAGTTAAAGAATTACCAATGAGAAAATGACCAGGAGTGAGAGGAGACAAGTCGCTTGGATCAGAAGATAGAATCGTTAATGGGCGACTATTTAAGCATGCTTCCGCCCTGGTAATTACAGTAAGTAGCTCCTCATAAAATAAATGGGCATCTCCCAAAACCCTACGTAATAAATATTTCATCGACTTTACTCCAGCTTCCCACAGACCCCCAAAATGCGGTGAGCGCGCAGGAATAAACTTCCACTCCACTTCGTTTTCAGACAACATATTATTAATTTTACTTTGATGTTCTTCAGTTTGAGATAATTCATACCATTCTTTAAGTTGACGATTTGACCCGATAAAATTTGAGGCATTATCAGAGTACAAAGTTTTACTTTTTCCGCGTCTATCAAAAAACCGATTTAAAGCACGTAAGAAAGCATCGGTACTTAAATCACTGACCAACTCAAAATGCACCGCATGTGTCGCAAAACAAATAAATATACACACATAGGCTTTAGTAACCGGTGAATTTTTCCTCAATCCTGTTTTTAACAAAAATGGACCACAGAAATCTATACCTGTGGCTAGAAAAGCTCGACCCGGAGACAGGCGGTCCCTTGGTAGATCTCCCATGATCGGCTGCACCACTTGAGGCTTGTGACAAAAACAAATAACACATCTATTAACGGTAAATCGTGCGAGGTTTCGACCGTTAATAGACCAATAATTTTAATAAAAATAATTTAAATAATAATTTAAACAGACGCTAATAACGCTTGTGGGCCACTATGCATTAACTTGATGTGTTCCTCTCTAAATAACAATTTGGTAAACGAACAATGTGACGGTAATACCATTGGATTAGAAATGATCGACCTTGAACCAACTTAACTAAACATAACCTCGCTGTGTTTCTTTCTATCGCACTTACAAAGCCATTTCGCTTAGAAGTATGAAATACATTTTTCTTTTTGTAAAAATTATCTATTGCGTTATTTTTAAATCTTAAACAATAAGCCACAACACGCAATAATTTGTTGAACGAGGAGAACTTTGATAGTAACTGAAACTCTTCGTCGGTGGAACACACAGCACTTATGGAAGATTTAAATTCCGGCATTTCTTCTAATTTACTGCCAATATCTTCTTTTGGTATATTTGGCCATTCCTTTTGTTAGGGGTTTGTTTAATAGTTGAGGATCTTGGTCAAAACCAAGAATCGGAAGCTACCCGACGTCTGCCCAAATATCGTCCCTATCTCCTTAAATGAGTTTTAATTGCCTGAAGGAGACACAGGCAATCATGTACCTTAGTTACAGAAGATAGATTATTAAATAAAATTAGACTATTGTTTTATGTCAACGACAAAGTAAAGTTATATTTTAGATGTTCAGTAAATATAAGTTATATGTAATGTACAATACGTCTGACCTGAATCCTAGTACAGTTGGTTAGTAGGTATATCCAAGTGAGACGGAGTTGGTTGGCTATGATGACAATTGGCGATAGACGGGTCGTTGAATAAAACAAGTTAAGTTATAAATAATATAAATAAGACGTAAGTAATAATATTGAAAACTATGTCTATAACGGCCACTCAAACACAACTGCCCTTTGTTACTTCGACGTCAGTAGCTCCGGGCTACAGACGAGTAGAATTGTCATATAAGCATCTCCCTCTATGCTAATTAATATGTATTACGAATTAAATAAATAGAAATAAAACGTGTGTAATATAAGTGGTAAAAACATAGTAATAAATGTTCTTACATTACCCTCTCCCCTATTAAAGGTTCGACTCTGAACCTTATAAAAGGTCAAAATATTAAGAAAAAGAGAAAAGAAAGAAGAAAAAAAAATTTGTCTAATAATGCTTAAAAAGCTTTTAAGTTATGGTTCTCTTTAAAATTAGGAGTGGGAACCATGTTATGTTTACGAAACTTCTTGTAATCTTGTATCTTCATGCGTTCTTAAATTGTTGTTTTCTTACGTAATTAGTTGTTCTCGAAGTTCATTACCACTACAAGATTTTTGCTTTTATTTATATTTCATAGGGTAAATTTATATGTTAATGTTAGGTTACAAAGTTAGACTTATGATTATGCATTGCGATTGAATGGAAATGAATATATACATTTTTTATGTGTTTAAATTTATTTTACAATCAAAATTAATTTAAGTTAACCTAATTTATAAATTATTTATTTTTATACCTAATAAAAACGTTGCTAAAAATTCTTCAAATTTACAATTTGCTATCTTACTTTTAACTAGACAATGCATAATAACTTATAAAAAATAAAAATTGTGATAACGGGACTATTTTATAGTTATTATACAATATAAAAATATTCATGTATTTAAATAATATTTATTATACCTAGTCTACTAGTCCAACTGTACAGAACGTAAAAATCAGAATCAGGTTTCTATACGCGGAATAAAAAATAAACAATTAGTCTATGACAAAAAGTTGTAAATTGATGTTGCTAATCTTGCGCTTAGTAGTCAATGACAGTTAGTTTCAATATGTAATATTATCTAGTAATATGTTATTACACTATAATTTAATGTGTACTGAAATAATAAAAATGAAAGTTATTAGACAGTTTGCCGTGAAAACGGCAGTTTTGTTTAAAGTTGTTAAGTGGATCATCATTAATGTTTTCTTAGCAATCGACCTGTCAATGCCTGTAACATATCTAAAAATTAATTTTCATTTTATTTAACCAACCTTAATTAATATCATGCAGTACATTGAATTATATTAAACTGTATATTTGATTAATATGATAAGAAAAATTAACAAAAACTAATATATCAATTGCCATTCAGTTATTTTAAAAATTTTATAATGGTCATCTTGAGTTATGTGTTAGATCGACTTATGTAAGTTTATTATTTAAGTTCATTTATTAATAACGTATTTTTTGTTCAACTTAAAATACAGTATGTTTTTATCGCTGTAGTTTGATTTGTCAAATAGTAAAACTTTTATCCTTATTAGGTAGTAATATTGTTTTTAAAGTCGTATTGAACGAACTGTAATTCGTGTTTTCTCTCTTTTTTTTTTTTTAAATAGACCAATTATCAGACGATGCCGGAAAAAATAATCGTCGGACACGCTGGAATAAAATACAAATCAAATATAATAAAAATGCTTATAGCAATAATAATTAGACTGAAATATGTCAACTTTTACTTGACTTCCAAAAATATACCATTTTTTTTTTTTTTTAATAAACATAATAAATAATAAAATTAATAATCATCATCAGACAATGCCGGAAAAGTCTTCAGTCGCTGCTGGAATAAAAGAAAATTTGATAAAAATAATATAATACTCATAAAATTTAGTAATTATCACAATGAATTAAATAAATAGAAATAAAACGTATTATTGCTCACGTAATTTCTGTGATAAACGCGTGGTCGGCATGAGATGTGTTCTGTTTGATAAAATTATCAAGTCATTACAATTAAAGACTGGTTCTAATGCATAGCGTGGTATAAACGTGCATTTAGAACTGTTTTTTTTTTGGTTTACATGGTTTTGTGCCAAGCTGATTATCTCGGAGAGACATTTATAACGCAGTAAGCCAAGACGTTGTAATCAATCTGACGTAATCGCTGATATTTGGGACCGAATATTCATTAGGACACGCACACGCTGGTAAGAGCCGGTGTTATCGCGAACTTGCACGACAGTAGTACCCAATACTACAGTACTTTATACATATGAAGTACCTGAAAATTTCGGTGGCGTATCACCTGTTTGATCAACAGTTGACGAAGTAGATGGCGCAGGTTGATCCATGTGCAAAATAGTGTTGTGTTTTTTCTCGCACCTCTTACACGCCGAGTTTAAAACGCATGACGATGCAACATGACCCGGTTTAAGACAAGAAAAACATAATTTGTGCGTAGAAACATGATCACGCCTTTTCTGACACAGGAATTTTTTGAAAGATATAGCACCGATAAAGGAGGTGTGAACCCTTGTGACAATAAGAACACTGAATTTTGTTTTGAACAGTAGGCTCTAGATTATTAGACGCAATGCTGGTTAATGAATATTTCGGTGACTGCGAATTGTTCTGTACTGAACGCGACTAGATTAGAACCCTTAAGATTTTCCAAAATCTTACAACATTGCTGAACAAACTTCAGCAAGTCATTCATAGTAGGAATAATCGATTGTGATATACTGTTTTTAAATAAGTGTCTTGTTGTGTTATCCAGTTCACGAGAAACAATATAGAAAAGCAAAAAACCAAACAGGTCATCTACGTTTAAAATTTTGATTGCCTCATTATTTTCTTTGAAGACATTCAAAAAATTATCAATGATGAAAGTGACTCACTATTTATTGGCCGAAATACAAAAATTTTGACCAAGTGTGCTGTTGCTAACATTCTTTTTGTTTTCATACCTATCAGTAATTGCGCTCCACGCTATATCATTATTGTTTCACAATAGATTCAAATGTATCACCGAAAATTGTTCAATCTGTGATACTACCATCATATTTTAAATTCATATTCGCATAAATGTTGTTATATAACGAATGAGAATGGCTAAGCGCAGCAACAGCGGGTTGCGGTGTGATAACGTTTTGAACTACAGACGCAGCAGCACTAAAATCATAAAACATTTTTTCCGTTTTGAGGGTCACTGTCGAATCGATACAATCGAACTCTTCAACGCGATCGAGTTCTATTATCACGTTTACAATAGCTGTTAAACTGTTGGCGTATCTAAAAATTGGTTTCGGGGGGGGCTCAAGTTCCAGAATCCAGTAAGGAATTCTTCGCCGAGCAAAAAAAAAAAAAAAATACTTATGTGACGTTTAATTTATTAATAATTGGAGTGCAATAAAAAAAAACGCAGTACAAAGAGTATAAATAACTTCAACTATATTTAAAAGAATTTTTACAAAGAATATACACCTTATAAAAGTAATTTTATTGTTTTTTTGTTTGCTAAGTGGTTGAGCACTTCTTCCGGATCAAAAATAGTATCCCAGTGAATTGTCATCATCGCGAGTGCACTTAGTCTGTCATGACCCATCACACTACGAGGTAAAATTTTTGTCCTCTTCATTGTGGAAAACGATCTTTCTACGCTGGCCGTTGTGACTGGANCGATCTTTCTACGCTGACCGTTGTGACTGGAATAGTAGCCAATAGCTTGAGAAGAAGATTTATCGCGCGAAAAAATGTTCTGTCACAATATTCCAACAGTTTCAAAATTTCAGTCGATGGGTCAATTGATGACATTTTGGCACACCATAATTTGTACTCAGCTTCAACTGCGGACAATGACATTTCGTCTTCAAAGTATGAACCTAATTTTTCCAGTTCATCCATTTTTTTCTCGGAAGCATATCCTGGAAGTAGTAGTTGAAAACTTGAGTTGAGAGAATATCTTCATTCTTGATAAATCTATCCGTCAAATTTTGTATCAAAACATCGATACAAGGAATAAATTTACACGAGATTTCTGTCGTGATGCAACTCTTGGAGCTTGAAGTTCAGCGTCAAAAAGGTCCGCTGAAAATTTCGACGCTGTTTGAAAAATTCCTCTGAAAGTGTCGCTAGCAGTTTCCCGCATTTTTCGAAATGAACTCAATA